CCCCAAAACCCCAAAACCCCAAAACCCCAAAACCCCGAATGTATATATAATTTTGCTAAAATTAAAATGTTTAAGTTATATTATCGAGGAATAAAATTAAGGTAAATCAAAAATTATTTACTCATTAAGTACTATATTTTTAAGCTTATTAAACATGCAAGTTGTAAAGATTTTGTTAATTTTTACTTATTGATTTTCCCTAAAGCTTAATATTATTTTGCTAGCATTCTAAGTTTGCTATACGGAATGCTTTTCGGTTAATAACTTCATCTATATCTTCCTATTCAAAATCCTCATCTTTACACTCTGATAATGAGTCACTTTCCTTTTCGTTTTCTATTTTTCCAGAACTACCTTTGAATCCATTTTTCCTTAGTTCTTTTTTAGCAAACTAACTATTAGGAATTGCTTTGCTAAATTACGATCTTTTCTTGAAACTTTGACTTCTATTCCTAATTTAAGCCAAAGGAGATGAAGGATTGTTATTTAAATTACTATACCTTGAATCATATTTTTCAGGAATATCAAGGTTTAATTTGAATTCATCGCTTGGATCATTATTATTACGTACCATTCTGTAGTTTTAAAATTTATCACTCACATCACTAAATTAATTCATAGGATTTACTGACCTATTACTTGCTCCTAATTAACTTTTTGCTCTAGATGAAAAATTGATTGGTGATTTTGCTCCTAAATCTTAGCTATCTAGCAATTGAACAAACATCTTTGATGAGTAAACCACTCCATTATTTAATCTAGCTGGAGATACACAAAAATTATCTCCAGATGCCAAAACCTTTGATTTGAAATTCAAATTATTTCGGTCTACTGAGCGCTCAGAAGCCTCAAATTTAGAATTCTCTTAATGGATTATTTTTTATACTTTTGTGGCTATGTTAATCTATAGGATAAGTTAAAAATTTCATAAAAATACTGTCCATTCAAATTGAAAAGCTACTGAAGGAGAGTGTCCTAAATAGTTTTATTTAGTTTTACTAATTGCATTAATGATCTCTTAATAATCTGGCTCTTAATCGAACTTAAGAGTGAGTACATTTTTAAGAGTCTAAATTAATTCCTCTAATAAAAATAAAATGGGTAAGACTAAATATACTTGGAATCATCGAGAATAATCTTTTGGTATATTCGATTTCTAGTCTTTCTCTGAGAACATCTTTGAATTCCATTCCTTGCTCATATTTTTTCTCTATATCACACCAAGGCAGGTAGTTATCATTAAGTAAATAAATCATGATATACATGGCAGATTCAATATCATCTCTTCTTGATTTATTATTTCCACGACAAGAGTTCAAAGATGCGAATAAGAAGTTTCCTGAAAATTTTCTAACATATTCCTTTTCAGAATGTATTCCTTCCTCAGTGTAATAGCTTTAGGTAAGTCCAAAATCAATGAGATAGACGATATCAGAATCTTTGTGGCCAACTAGAATATTTTCTAATTTGAGATCGTTATGCACATAGCCTAATGAATGTAGATGCTTTAATCTCTCAATCTATGGCCAATTAATTCTCATAAAATCTTACGATTTAGATCACCAATTTGAAGACAGTTGGCTTGCTAAATTTTCTATGAGGACACTACTTTTATAAGTTTCTAAGATTCGGACCGAGGGCCTATTATTTTAGTATTATTTATGATGTTAATGAGAAATAAAAATTTACCTAAATCAATATTTCTGACTGTTCTTCACCCTCCTTAGTTGAAATTAATTATGGAAAACCTGGAATTGGCTGTGTAGTAAGATGATTGCTGAAAATTTCTTTAGTATCATCTGGAGTTTAAAGTGATTCAAGGACCTTTTTTTCTATTAGGAAAGATTTTTTGTCTTCATTTTTATACTATTAAGAATTTTATGCAAGAGTGAATATAAACATACAATTTTAAGGACATATTCTTGGGATTCCTGGCTAGCATTTCGTTTAACATAGAATACACTGCCTTACGCACTGCTTTGTTTGTCACTTCTAAGAATTAAGTTCTTGTGCAAAAACTTCAGATTTGATTGCATTAGAGTTCAACTTATTCAAATAATATAATAAACATATAACATTTTTTGCATTATTTTACTAATTGTTAGAGTGATCTGAGTTTTAATAATTATAATAATAATGATAAATAAGAATTATGGCAGGCATGGGGTTTTTGTGTATCTCATGTCAACCCGAAGGTGCTCAAATAATTCTCATCTACTACTTCTGTTTCTTTCTCATATTTCTGAGTCTATTTTTTGTTGTTGTCTACTTTAACCATTTGACTTTTGATTCATGTTAGAATCTTTTCTTCTTTTCTCCCAACATATTTTCTTTGTAATGAGTATGTCTCTAAATCATTATATATTTCTAGTATAATCAAGATTTTATTTTTAATAGAGAAACTGATCAGTCCCATGTTTATTTTTTCATAAAATTTCAAAAAGACTTATTTTAGATCTTATAAAAATCAAAATTTGCTAAGAACCTAAAACTGTAGTACAACCCCAGGCTTTACTTGTTTTTTTGTCGCAATTGAAAAATGCTATGGGTTCTGAGTTAAAACAAATGTGTTTTCTAAATAGTGACTAAGAATTCGACATTTTCTTAATTCACAAGTTATGAGATACATTTTATTATCTCAGCCTGCTTCTCTTTTTAGGCTTTCTTGAATGATTAATAAAGATTTACTGTCAATGAGCAATCTTTAATTTGATGACTATGATTAAGTTAGATTTTTCTGTCAAGGCTTTATATGCTTCTGATTAACTGTTTATCAGCGATGTATGATACCGTTGAAGTTGTAGGTTAATTTTATTAGAATCCAGAATTCATAGTTGCTTAGTGATAGACTTTTAGATATTGCATTAAGATTGGAGCATGGCATCTCTTTGTATTAGATAATGGGGTACTTGATAGTTAGATTATATAGTATAAACTTCTTATTAATTTTACTAAGTATAGAGGTAAATCAAGTAAAATGATATTTAAATAATAATGAGATATTTTCATTTCTAGATATTATTCCTTATTTTTTAATGAATTAATAAAGCCTATTTTGACCTCTCGGGGTTTTGGGGTTTTGGGGTTTTGGGG